ATGCAGGATATTTCAGGAGGTTTATAAATATAATTCTTTTAATTGTTGAGGCACCTGCAGGGCATACAACATCATCCTATGACACAGTATAGAGGGAAATGAGGGGAAAGATGCTTTTATGATGTTTAAGCTTGATTCAGATAAATGGATTGGTAAATGGACGGGGGCTATCAGCATCTCATCTTGCTTCTGCTCACGGGGACTATTACAGTTTTTTTTCTGGGGCGAACACCAAAATAACAGCACACTGATTGTTTGCTTTGATTCTGTAGGTCCTGGGCTTGCTCAGTCCTTTAATGTAGCGTGACAGCTACTCCTTTGTCCTCTAATTTTTCCTTTTCTTTCAACACTGGCATTTTTACAACTCAGAGAAGATACCAGTCCTGCTGTCTTACCTGTTCAATCATTGCTTTCATTTGAAGTGATATTAAACATAAATGGCCAAGACCTCAGGCATTAATCTAATATGACAAATTCACTGACATTTTAATTTGCTTTTAATAGTCAAACCAACACATGCTGAAGATATTATAGTTTAAATACTGTTATGCTTTGTGGATAAAAGACAAGTGGCTGACTCGCAGTCAGGAGCACCAGGGAAATTTCACGGTGGCCTAAGGGTTGTTTTATCCTGCCGTGAATGTGAGCAGCAATATTACAAAAGCAGGAATGAGCTGCCTGACCTCTCAGAGTCCACACATCAGCTGTAGCTCTCTCGTGTTTTCCTATAGGCTGTATGTTCTCGCTCTTTTCTTCTGCAGCAATAGCATAATAGATGGTCAAGTTAAGAGTGGAGGTGAGAGAAAGAGAAGGAGAATGAATAATCCTCCCAATTGTCTCATTGCCCAGTTCTTGTACAGCTTTTGTATTATTATGGTTACACGCCTTATTTTGAGAGTGAGACAAAGCACATCAACAGCACTGTTCTTTTTAATAATCTACACTACACATCCACTAACACGATTAAAGTGAATTCTTTTAACCAGAGAGAGCCAATCTGTTGTGGTGACAGCCCTAAATAACACACAGCCTAAGTGGAATGGAGCCAAATTCCCAGCCTGAGTTGTTGTTTCCGTCTGCCCCATGGCTGGACACACAAAGAAAGTGCTGAGGTCCAAAAGGGCAGTTAGGCACTTAACCTGCTCACAGATAGCAGAAGCATTACAAGAAGCCAGTAGGTTTACTAAAATCCCTGAGAAAACACTCTCACGCTCTCCAAACACTCTCAGAAACTGAGTCTACGTCACCCGTCTCTGCTCCACAATCCCAACAGTGTCGCTGCTTTGAGTAATTTAAGAAAAAGAGTATATAATTATTATTATACACATATGAGGATTTCATGGCCCACTTTCTGTTTAGCCATTCTCTCCAGGCTTGTGTTTAGATGCAGTTGGAGAAAAGTTCTTTTAATCATTTATACACAGACTAGCACAAAAATTTAGTAGAAAGAATATGTACGGTTTGTGCAAAACTGTCACACAAGTCTTACGCTCCTTTCAAACTCCCTCAAACTACACATCTACTCCATTAATCATACATGTGTGTATACATTTCTAATACATTCACATACCTTCCCCTTAGACCAAGCCACACTAAACCATATTCCATTATTCATGAGCCGTGCTGCAGCTAGTATGCATAGTGTTCTTGTCAGTGGGTGTTATTAGCCCACAGAGGAAGCTCCTAAACCCTGAGTGCAACAACCTGTCGCAGCACTCAGGTCAACTGACGGACTAAGCATTTCTGTCTCGCACACACACACACAAGTGTGTGAGTGAAAACGGATCCCAGCATAAAAGACACAGCTGCAAGCTCACAAGAAACGCACACTGACACTAGCTATGATTATATAACTACTACTAGATCTTAACATTTAGGGATGCAGTGGCTTTGACTTTAGACCATTTATTCTGTGTCAGTGCTCATATTACAGTTTGTCCTGCCTCTAAAAATCGGGTGTTACAGCTCATAGAGCGCCACATACTTCAAAGATCATAAGGTTAGACTGTATATTAGTATAATGGCTAAAGTTGGTCCTAGTTATCCCAACCAGAGGCAGCTTCAAACTACATACTTGGAAAATATGACATATTAAAATATATATTTTGTGTCATTTTTAACTCCCCCCCTCATTTTTCTGTCATTACTCTTGCAACCCCTAACACTTAGTTCAGCTGTGCTGTGACAGAGCAGGTAAAAAGAAAGAGCAGGAGACTATACTGCATGCATCAGAGGAGTTAAATGGCAAGACAAAACTACAAATTGATGTAGACATTGTATACAGGCAAATTTTCACATTCCACCTGATATAGTGGACAGCTAAGAAAAAAGAAATCCAATTATTTCAGTACCAATAATTGAAGCATTAAAGAGAAGGCCAGGATGACAGAGAACAATATAAAAAGTGAGAAATAGCTGTGCCTACACGACAGCTTTGATGTGGTGGCTGAGCTGATATAGCCAGTGGACAGTCCTTGCACCCATTTTTCTGAACACAATAACAGATGAAGGACTAAATGCAGTAAGGCACTACTGTGATGGCATAATGGTACCATTTACTTCTACATGCTGATCATTTAATGGCTTTGTGTTGTCAATTGAAAAACTGCAGTTTACAGATAAAGCATAAAAGGTTCACAGAATTAGAGCCAAACCACTGAATTTCTGCACTCAAATGTGAGGCCTCTTACACTAAATCAGCTTTTTTGTGAACTAGTTTTCTGTCACACATTGTCACGAATTTGAGAAAGGTGGTTTGTTCCACTCTGAAACACTAAATGTCACAAAGATCGAGCTTTTTTTTTTTTTTCCAAATATAATAATGCATTTTCTGTCTAAAAAAACAATGGGGTGTTTTCAACTCCTGTGAAAAGACAGATATTAAATAAACAGATGATCAGACACGGAAGCAGGCACATGCATGCGAGTCCCCCCACACACAAAATTACACGAGGAGCATTATTCATGCGACGGGACGCACCTAAATGAAACCATGTGTGTAAATGTCATAAGCAAATGTCAATAGCTTTTTGAGGCCTGTCCTGAGGAAATGGAGCCAAGCATATGGGCTTGGAGGACTCATATGCACCTTCATTTTCTACTATTTCATCTAGTCTAAATATGATTTGAAGACCTCATCTGCTCATGTGATGAATTAAACGACACGTAGGCTGGGAACTTTTTACAAGCAGCAAGCAGAAAAGAA